GGCAACTGTTTAGCATTGGACAATGTTCCCTGCTCCTCAACAACTGATTGGGAGTTAAACTGTATATGTTGCACAGATTCTGATGAGTTTAATACCTTATGATGTGAAGCTGCAAAGTATGTTATGAGTTCAACGAAACAACATGATAGTCGTAATAAATTATTTTGTATTATATGTTAATTTGATAGGTTACAAGCTGAAATGAATTGCAGCCGAACTTCAGTTTTGAGTCTATATTGCTGAAAATTTCTTCAATGAAACTCAATCAAACATATTCACGGAACGTTACATAGCAAGCTCTTATCCTGATCCCTCGATACATAAAGTTTAGGAGAACAGAAACTCCGGTCTACCTTTTCTGAATCAGAAATGGTACTGTCGGGAGTAACTTGGGTGCTCAACCGTCATTTTTATATTATCTGGTTTATTACTATCAGTTGTATTTATCTTTTGCTCTGTGCTGCTGACGTTCCAGGAACTGTTACTGACATGGTTTTGATTCAAACTACATTAGCTTGAAATGTTGATGTCTCCAGAATTGGTACGAAATGAGCTGCAACTTGGATGGTAACCCTTTATTTTTCTCTTCTTGTTTTGGTGAAGTTGATTATTTCCTGCCGCTGTAATTTGTACATTATTGGTTCCAAAAATAAGTAGTTATAATTGACTTGGATGTCCTTTTTAAGGAAATTTAACTCAACTCATCTGTGACAGAGGGCTAGACCAAAATAAAACGTTGTGCATTAATTTATCAGACTTCCAAATCGGTTAAAACATCTGTTCTTTCATTTTTACATGCATTTATGTATTTCCTGTGGTAGGGTATGCATTGATGGGGTAAAACCATGTGGAAAACCTGATGTCCTCCCCATCTGCATCCCATTAGTGAGTCATGCTGGCATTAATCTTCTTATGCCACTTTGCCGCCTTTAATTATTTTCATTCACTTTTCTTTTGTACAGGGATCTCAATTCCATTTTCCTTTGGTTATAATTGTTTCTTTATACTTGTGTACGCTTTAATTTCAATGTGGGAAATGGCTTTACATCTTGTCCAATTTGTCCTGCCCATAATACTTCTATATTGTCTAGTCCTTGGTGATTTTGCTCACTACTCATGAATAAAACCTCGAATTCGTTCTCAATTGGATCCCATCATATATAAAATTGACACAGTATACTTGGCCTCAGAGTACTTTGGTTTTTTAGTTTTAGTTTCCCAAGAGGCTGCCTACTCACTTACTTTAGGGTACCTCACAGCAGATCACATATATCCAGTACTTTTCACCTGATGAGTGCTAACTGCATTCTGACTTTGGCATGAAATACTTCAGAAACCCAAAACCTTTCCATGAGTATACAAGTATTCCAAAACTGAATTCTATTTTACCATTCCCAAATTGATTCAACTGTTGCTTGAACCTGAACTAGATAATCTTTATCATGGGTGATTCATTTCAATATTTGGCTTTAGACCCCAAAAATGTTCCCTGTTTTCTCTTTTTGGAGATAGGTAAACTATGCATCCATATTTAAAGTTTTTGCTCCTGGTCTTCCACTTTGTAGTGCTTTCTGATACTGCATGGTCAATGGCTACGCGCAGTTATGGATCCGCCTTTCGTGCATTAATGTACCATACAGATGATTTTCTGTGATTGAATTCATGTTTATAGTTGCATTGAGAGGATCAAATTTTGGTGGAGATTACTGGAACCAAAAGGATAAATACATGAGGATGAGCTGATTAACCCCTCTGACAGTGAGAATCAATAATTTCTGGTTAACGAACAAACTATAGTCCTAACAAACTCTGAAAGAAAAATCAATTAAACGACAAGAATTTAAACCTCTAAATGACAGAGATATATAAGAACATTAATTGAAGAGTATTGCTTCAGCGGTAGGTACGGACTGATTTCCTCATCTCCGAGAACAGGCACTTGACCTTCACATTCGCAGTTGCTTTGGCCATTTTGTCAGGAAAGCGATGTTGAATCAAACTAGATATATCCCATTGAACGCTTTATTAATTTCTTTATTCAGGTTATCCAGTTTTTTGTGGCCTATCTCTAAATCCGGATAGCTGGAGACCACATATTTATTTGATCTCAACATACAACGCCTATTTCCTTGGTAACCAAATCTCCAACGAAAACCACTGAATCAGTGCTTATAGTTTCTTAGAAGGAAGGTCTAAATGTCAATGACTTGTCGTATTTGACTAAGCTACCTAAACGGTTTTGCAGGCCAAAACTTGAACTGTATATTGGAAATCTAAAGAAGTTGGGGAGCTGAAGCGAAGTTGGTCTATTCAGTCTATGAGTTTCTGCTTTTGGTGTCATTATTGCAGTTGAAGATGCAGAAGGATTCCAGTAATGGCGCATATGCCACAGAGAGATTTTTCCTGACCGAGCAGTTGCAATGGTATTAAAACGTTTAACTTGATTAGGAGGCATTGCATCAATTTTTGGGCCGTAGAAGTAAGAAATTGAGGGTACCTAATCAATGAAAGCCATGTAAAGAAATTCAGGCTCACTAATCAATGTAATTCATCAAACTCTATCCATCAAGACAACCAAGAATACTATCAAAAAAACAAGACTAAGGTACTCCATCCATCAGACGAAAGAAATAGAGGTAAATCAGTGAACTAAGTTCACGTAGGGGGAAAGAAAATTGGTGCATGACATAGATGTGGCTGCTAATATATTCCACCTGATTTCCCCCGAGTAATACACGTTTTTCCATTTCAATTTGATGCTTTACACATTGCTTCGACACTATTAACAACCCAGAATCGAACTCGATGGCCAGAGATCCCCAAGTCCATTCATTAGGTCCAGGTGATCTTCTGGTTGTGATTGTGACCTTTGATGATCCGGCGATTCTACACAATCCTGATGTAGGAAACCGCATAATCCTTGATTCCCTCGATAGTAATCGATGGTGAATGTATTAAGTTCGCCACCTGTAAGGATGCTTCCCGCTAGACTATTCAGAGAGAGATTCAAGACTCTGAAAGAAATTGAGCTTTGCCAATGCGGATGGAATATTACCACCCAATTTGTTTCCGGGATGGTCTAATGATTATAGTGCAGACAAGCTCCCAACAGTGGATGGTATTACTCCATCAATCGGTCATGTGATAAGTTCAGTATCTTGAGTGAATTCAGCTCTCCCATTGAAAACTGTAAACTCACAGAAACTTCATAATATGACAGATGATCTTTGTTTAGGAGCTTTGTTTGGCTTTCGTCCTGTTTCTTCTTCATAGCTTCAAAACTGTAAATCATGTCTGCTGGAAGGAAGCCATGGAGCTGATTATGAGATAAGTCCAGATTCCGCAGCTTCTGAAACAATGTCTTTGAAGCAGAGCCAATCTCATCATGCAATTGATTCTATTTCAGTGTCAGAACACTAAGTTCGGGCAGAGTTTGGAAAGGAGTCTTGTTGTGGCGAAAAGGGCATAAACTCGACACACTACGGAAGCGATTCCCATAAAAACTCTTTTCCTACTATCAATAAAATAGGACAACTAAACAAGCAATAATTCAAATACTGATAAAGTAAAGTAGGCACGCGAATTTTCGTGGAAACTCCAAATCGGAAAAAACTACAGAACTGTAACAACAGTCAAATCTCCACTATCACAATGATGGGAAAACAGTCTTCACCAACCTGTTGATTCATAGGACTTCACCCAAAGGTGGATTGCAATAATACTTTTCTACACACACCTATCACAAAGTACAACGGGAAGGATCTCACCAAAAGAGAGCTAAACCGAAAACTAAACCGGAGGAATTGAATATCTTGTTGAGAGGAATACACATGCCAACTTGCACCAACGACTGCTATCAGAGCCACGGTTCTACTCCAGTGAATGTGCGGATAGCGTGGCGTGTTCTCCTAGTTTGACCTTGCAACGACTTGTGGGCTCGAGGAATGGAACCGGTGCCTAGTTGTAGGCCTTGTGTTAAAAGTCTTCCTGACAATAGCGGGTCAGACGGCATGTTCCGCGGGTGAAAGCGGCGATACATGTTGGAATGTCATTGAAGGGGAGGCCCAAGTGTGGTCTTGTGTTGGAGGGGAGGTGTGTTGGGTGTGCAAACCCAATCCCATATCGGTGACGGGAGAGTTCCAATCTCAAAATATAAGTCTAAAGGGTTACTCCTTCTATTACCAATTGATTTTAGAGTGGAATCTCATTTGAGCTTACGTATCGAGGTTGAGGAGTACTGGGCTAGGGAAGAAGGTCCCAACATCTCTTATGCTGTAATGTCCTAGGTCGAGGATTTCGAACTTGTACAGTTCCGCAGAAACTCTGGCAAAGGACCTTCCTAATGATATCAGCAACAACATTCTGGCAAAGGACCTTCCAAACAAATACTCCTACTTTTTATTCTGTTTAGTTAAGTTGACAAATTCTCACCATAGTTGACCTCTTTTCAGAGAATTTAGAGAACAAATGGTAAATGCAATCTAACCACATCTTCATTTTTATTTCTGCTTAATGATTAAATAAATTAAAAATTTATTAATGGTTGATCGTAAAAAGTTCTGTTCAAGAGAGATGCATTGGAGGAGATTGTTCTAAGAGACTGAAGATTGTTTGTTGCTATTAGGAATCGTATGAAAATGAAGCATGAGAAGATCAACGTAACAAATACTTAGGTTATTACCTGCAACTGCAACAGCTAATAAAATTTATCCCCTACTGATTTTTTAGGCACTTGAATCAATGAACATGCTGTTTGTATTACAGTTAGACAAAGCAGTATAAATGCAGCAACAGAAATGATAGACCATGGACTACGAAAATAATCACGTCTTAACATCGCGAACCATTTAGCGATTTTTTCTTTCCACTCATGCAGCAAGTCACGGTGGTAATCATTGACCTCACTTCATTGCTCAACAAAACAAAATTCTCTTGGATCAGTCACAAACTCTTTGTAAATATTGTTGAAAAGCTGTGCAATTTGTTCGCTGCTACCAAGCTCATTCCTGATGGTTTCCGCATTGAATTAGAACATCAACATCTTTGTGTGTATCAATCAAGTTATCCAGCAAAATAACATAGCTTGACATATATCTGAAATGGTATCCAGACTGTTCGAAGGCAATTAGATTCCGGAGACAGGTTTCCGTGGAATCATTTACTGTCAATGCTGGAATCTTCAGCACTCCATTTTTGCTGTCAAAATGAACATCCAAGAGGCATTTTCCATTCCCTTGTTGGAACTTAACTCCAGCTGCTTTGAGTTCTGTTACAGTTGGACATCGAGCGAAATCCAAGTTGTTTTCAACTTTTCGTTCAACACTTGGATACCGAATATCTCTATCAGGCCTACGTAGAATCGATAAGAACTGAACCAAGTGCCTCGCGTAGCGAAAATCACGAGCCAGCAACAGGTTTGCCGTATTACCTACACTCTTGAAGTACTTATGGGCTAGTTCATGGAAAGATGGTGGATAAATTGCATCATTATCAAAGCACTTTCTCACATTGTTTAAAACAAAAGTGTTGTACAATGTGTCTAGAAACTTGAATGGTAATTGGTTTTCAAAGAGCAATTATTAAATAGCAAATAGCATATCTTCCTTCTCTCTCATCTCAAGAAACTTGAATGGTAATTGGTTTAAAACAAAAGTGTTGTACAATATATCATTTGGCACCCATGGATTATCAAATAGCATAACCTCCTTCTCTCTCATCTCAAGAAAATGGTTCTTCAACAAAAGCTCAAGAGCAAAAATCCCATCGAGCATAATCACCTCAGATGGTTTCACTTTCGATTGGAGCAACAGATTACGGTAGTAAATTTCTTCTTAACAACGGCATACAAGTTTTTCCTGACCGTACACAAATTCAGCCAACTGCTCTAAGGAAACTCGAAATGTGTGTAGGAAATGGCTAAAATATTTCAGCTTATACTCTTCCATAGCTTGCAACTGACTTGCACCGTGATGCATAAAACCTATTGAGATTAATCGAGGTGTATAAGCTTCTTGATTCTGGTTTCGATGTTTTTCAGGAACTTTATAGATACAAACTGTACCATAATTTAGATTATCTTGCGTAAGCAAAGACAACTCATCTTTCGTCGACGAGGTTAAACATTTTACACCATCGAATTCCTCTGCATCCCCTGCACCTGATTGAACTTGCTTAGGATGAATAGGATTGGGAGCATCAGCTGCGTCCTCCTTTCCCAAATCATTACTGAAATTGCCGTGTTTCATTGATTCCTGCATATATAAAATTCTCCAAATCAATTAATTTCAACATTAAACATGATATGAGGAGCAGAGTGACATTAATATAGAATGTGGGCTACTTTCTCTGTTCCTTTTTCGGAGGAAGTAACAATGATACATCTCACTTGCTGCACATGAAACATTTTCAGCTGCAAGATTAGAGGTTCTAAGTGGTGTTTTATCAGAGTTAATCCAGAAAATGAAACTGAAAATGGAACATAAAATCATCTACAGCTCGCTAAATGAGAAGAAAAGGATCAGCAGTCTTCCACTTTGATGATCTCTGGATCTTTAAAACTTTTAACCAAATTTGCGTGAAAAATTTAAAAGCAGAAGCAAAGAGAAGAAAAGATCCGTCAAATATGTTGTTAGCATGATTGAAGGGATTTAATTAGATTAGGTTGATTTGATGTTCTCTACAAATTAATGCTATAGTTTTGGTAGGAGCTTATCTCTTTTGTATAAATACCTCATGATAAGGACTCAGTAAACGCACAATACTTTCATCAATCTTCTGATTTAGTCTTTCTATTCGATTCGATTCTGTCTTTTTTTATTCAGCTTCGGTTAATATGGCTTCTTCCATTTCTGTTAACATATGTATTCTTCAAAGTGAGGGGAACAGAAATGTACCTCAAAACTTGTTGATAATTTCTCCAGCGATAGCCCGCTATTGCAATGATGCAATTCGAATATTTGAGTTAAAAGTGTGAATAAGCCAGAACAGTTCAAGTGAACATAAGAACTGTAAGCCTTTTTTTATTATTTTTCCTCCTGTTGTAATCATTGCTATAGTCCAGCTAGTACGTTGATTGGCATCAAGAACTGAATATAACCGAGTCATATGTATACATTATTTAATGCTTAAATTATTTCTCTACTCTGTTTCTTAGTTTTCGATTACAAGTAACTGATCAATCTCCCGTGCATTGATACCTTTTGTCCCCCGAAACATAGTCAGCGATCTCATTTTATGCCGAGAATGGTACTTCTTAATTACTTACCAATCTTTTCGGATGTTCAAACTTGCCAATTAATGTTTCTTTCTTCAAGAAAGTGATTGTCCAAGATAAACAAAGTAATGGCTGAATTGTTAGTTCCCGAGATGCTTCAATTTCTTGCAAAAGTAAACACGGTATTTGGGGTTGAAGAAGATTTAAGAGAGATCTACAACATGTATGAAACTCTTGAACAAATGGCGCATGAAGCAGAGAAGAGGAAGCTGAAGAGGAAGCTGAAGGATGATGCCGTTCGCGTATGGCTTGGTGACGTTGAAGACGTCGTATATGAGATGAAGAACTTGTTGGAAATCTGGAACACCAGCATTGTCAAGATGAACGATTTTGATAAACGAAAATCAGATAGAAGAGTACCAACATGTTGCTGGGAGAAGGTGCGTTCTATATTCTCATCTTCTGTTACAAAAGTTCCAGTGCTTGGTGATCTTACATTGAAAATTAAAGAGACCCATGATAAATTGGAGACCATATTGAGAGATGCAAATCGTTTTAAGTTTGAAAGTAGTAGTACCACTGAACACAGCAGTTCTAATGAATTTAGTAACCCCTCTGACCAGTCCATCCTTAATAGATCAGAGGCGGAGTATGACTGTTGTGGCGGAAAGGGCATAAACACAACACACTACGGAAGCGAACCCCAAGAAAATCTTCTTTCCTACTACCAATAAAATAGGACAACCAAATAAGCAAAATAATTCAAGAACTAATAAAATAAAAGAGGCACACGAATTTACGTGGAAACCCAAATCGGGAAAAACCACGAGACCGTAATAATAGTCAAATCTCTACTATCACAATAATGGGAAACAGTCTTCACCAACCGGTGAATACACAAGACTTCACCCAAAGGTGGATTATAACAATACTCTTCCAAAACACCAATCACAGAGTAGGATTGGAAGGATCTAATCAAAAGAGAGCTAAAACGAAAACTAAATGATGAATACTCAGTTGATGTCGGTGAAATTTCGATGCCGAGTAAATGATGAATACTCCCCCCAAGTCTTTCATTGAAAATTCTTGATTTAAAACCCTAAGAAACGAAGAAACAAGTGAATTGGAAGAGCCAGTTAATAACATGTCATCAACATATACTAATAAAAGTACCATGACTAGAGTGAAATATAAATAATGAGGGATCCGCTAAGTTGCAAAAAAAAAACATAATTTATTAAAAATTGACTAAGACGATCAAGCATGCGGAGCTTGTTTGAGACCGTAGAGGGCGCGTTGTAATTTGCAGATGTGAAGTGGTTTGTGAGGATCAGTCATCCCTGGAAGTTGCTCCATGAATAAATTTTCATCAATGAAGCCGTGTAGAAACCATCAAGTTGTCTAATCGGCCATTGATGGGTGAGTGCAACAGTGCGAAGCAACCGAATAGTGCTAGGTTTAATCACCGGAGAGAATGTTTCATGACAATCAATACCATCAATTTGATGATATCCTTTGGCCACAAGTCTAGCTTTTAGATGATCCAACGAATCATCGGGTTTCGGTTTGGATTTAAACACCCACTTAGAGCCTATAACATTCATGGTGGGGTGACGAGGAACAAGGATCCAGGTTTTATTTTGATGCAAGGCCGTTAATTCATCGACCATTGCGGCTCGCCATCCAAGATGTTGAAGGGCAGACTTGACAGATTTTGGTTCAAGAGGAACAGTGGGAGAAATGTAACTGTAAGTGCATATTAGGGTTAGGCTTTGTAAAACCAAGCTGCGATCGAGTTATCATGCGATGCTCTGGTTGTGTGTCCTCAGGTGAGGTAGAAGTTGAGGGTGAATTAGTGGAGCAGGTTTCAGTGAAACCAGAAGCATCAGAAGTAGAGGAGCTAGGAGAAGGTATCAGAATTGGACCGATGGAGACAGGGCTGGGATGCGAAGAAAATAACGGAGAAGGAGAAGGCGGTGAAGGAGCAGACTGATCAGGCTGATTAAGAGATACAGCAGGAAGGGGAATTGGATTAGAAGACAATGACTCGGTGGACTGCATATTTGATAAGGAGTTATCAGGAAGAGAAGAAGAAGGCAACCAGGTCAATTTGTGATTGTCTAGGGTTTGGAGTCGCACGTTTGAACGGGAAGGTCGACTCATCAAACACAACATTGCGAGAGATCAAAAACTTTCGAGACACTGGATCAAGACACTTGTACCCCTTATGCTTTTCACTATATCCTGCAAAACAACACAAAATAGATTTTGGATTAAACTTGTGTTTTTTTTATACCAAGTATAGGGAAAGCATTTTGAACCCAACACCCTTAAGGAAGAATATTCAGGATGAGAGTGACAGAGCATAAAATAAGGGGTTGCAAACTCAGTTGCTGATGACGGAAGACGGTTGATTAAGTATACGACTGTAGAAAAAGCTTCCACCCATAAATATAGAGGTGAATGACTACGAAATAACATAGTCATCCCTGGCTCCCAAATTATTCGATGTCTTCTTTCAACCGCTTATTCAATGTCTTCTTTCAACCACTCCAGCTTGTTCAGGAGTATATGGGAAAGAAATTTGATGGATAGTACCTGTGTTGAGAAAGTGAGATGCAAGTTGAGAATTAACAAATTCACCTCCTCCATCTGAATGAAATATTTCAATTTTTTTGTTAAATTGTAAATTTAATACTTCTCGAATGCTAAATATGACGAATAAAAATCAGACTTTTGTTTTAGTGGTATGAACCATGTATATTTGGAATAGTCATCAACTAAGGATGCATAATAACAAAATTTATTAATAAATAAAACCGGGGCAGGACCCCAGAGGTCACAATGGGTTTTTTCAAAGACAGAAGTTGATGGATTTTTTCAAAGACAGAAGTTGAACGACGATGAGAAAGTTCAAATGGAAATCTACTGAGTTTGCCTAACTACAACTATCACAAGTATGTGCTAATTTAGTAGAGCCTATAACATGAATAAGGCCTTTATTTTTCAATTTTTGAACTGCTGAACCTTGAGGATGTCCTAAACGTTGATACCAAATGTCCGCGCTACCGGATTTAAATCGATATGAAAAATGTGCTTCCAATTGAGTTGAAATGGTGTAGAAATCACCCTTCCTTCGCTCCTTCATGAGTAAATGACCTGTTTTCCATTTCTTTATCTAAAAATCAACATTAGAAAACTCACAATTTACTGGAGATTGTGAAGTTAATTGACTAATAGATAATAAGTTCTGTTTCAAATCCGGAACAAAAAGGACATTAGGAAGATTCAAAACATTATTTTTCTGTTGAATAGTAGATTCCCCAATCCCTGCAATAGGAAACGAAGAACCATCTCCGATAATCACTGAATCTGAACCTTTGTGTTGACTAATATTAGAGACCATACCTGAGTTTCCAGCCATGTGATTGGTTGCAGCTGAATCAGACAACCACTTATTATCCACGACTGAATTCTCAAGTGTCAGAGTTGCTAAAGCTTGAGGGAGATTTGATGCTGACGAGCCTTGATCTGATCCCTTAGGAATCCACCAGCAAATTTTAGCAATGTGCCCTGGACGTGCACGGTCTGACTTGTTTCATTGCGATATAATTCTCTTTCTGAGGGTGTCATGCGCCTTTCACCTGGTGGTGCAGATTTGCGGAACAAACCATTTTTCTGTATTGATTCTGAGATTGATTCTGAGTGACAGAACGATTTTGCTGGACTGGAAAACCACGACCATGTGAATTGAAATTTTTCGAATGAAAATTATTTCCAGATTTTTGTTGACTATAGAAAGCCAAGTGTGGATCATGGGGAGTCATAACACTAAGCCAAGTGTGGAACATGGGGAGTCATAACACTTTCAGTTTGAGTAGAAAACCAAGTTCTTCTTTGATCAAAATTTTGGAGTTGAGAAATCAATTCCTTGTAAGTTGGATGAGGTGGTTCAAGCATGGTGGTTGTAAAAGTTTCAAAATGTGGTCCTAGACTATTTAGAAGGCAATACACTTTTTCTTGTTCCCGGACAGGTTTGCCAATGGCTGTAAGATTGTCGCATAACCCTTTGAAGATACAAATATGTTCAGCAAGGGTTTTGGTTTTGTCTTTACGGAGATAGGTTAATTGTTGACGAATTGTGAACTCTCGTTCTTGAGAGTCTCTTGCATATTTAAGGGCATTCCACACACTATAAGCAGTGTCAAGCCCAATGACAAGTCCTAAGGAATCTTCGGAAAGAGTTCCAATTATCCATTGTCGAAGAAGACGGTCGGACTTTTGCCATGATGCAAATTTTTTGAATGGACTCAGATGTGATTTTATCTTTGTCCGAAACTGAGATTTTGGGATCTGTTGGAGGTTGATCTGTGAGGTGATCAATAACCTCTTGACTTTCGGCTAGAGCAAGTACTTGTTCCCGCCATAATGGATAATTTGTTTGAGAAAGTTTTAAAGTGACAAAATTTCCGACGTTCAAAGAGATTGAAGAATTTGCAGAAGACATGAATGAGGGCAAGGTCAAAGGCAGGCGAACCTGCTCTGATACCAAGCGAGGATTTGAGGTTTATTGGAAACCTTAATTTTGTAAAAAGAAATGACGAAGAAGACAGAAAAACATAAAACTGAAACACACTTTTTCTCTGTTACATTCAACGTAATTTTTGAGTACACAGCAATGATCCTGATCTAGTAAGCCTCCTTCATGCGTCTTTTTCTTTTGCTGTGATTAAGTGTAATAGATAAGCACAAGTGAATTACACTTTTACCAACTTGTTACTAATATATTTTATCCCTTGATCAGGCTGAGTATCGATCCCCTTATGTCTCCAATTCAACCTTATGACACCCAATACTCAAGGACGCAGATTTCGACTCTGATTGTGAATCTGATTGGAAGTCTTCTGTTTTAATACTTTTCTCGCGAAAGATTTCTGCTTGTCTTGGTTGATGTCGAGATTGGCGATAATCTTTTGATGTGGGAACAACTGATGAACGCGCTCAAGAACGGCGCTCCGGCCGGCAGCATAATCCTGGTAACAACAAGGAATGAAAGAGTGGCAAAAGCTGTAGGAACGGATCACCTGCATAGACTGCGCGAATTGTCCGACCTAGATTGTTGGTTTATTTTGAAACAGGTGGCATTGTCTGAGAGGTCTGAGTAGTGTAACGTAGTGAAGAAGGTTGGTAAGAAAATTGCGAAACAATGCAAAGGGTTGCCTGCAAATATGGCCGGATATCATTTCTGAACAAGAAATACACTGGAGGAGTGGGAAGAAGACATGGAGCTCGAAATATGGAATATGGAGGCAGAAAATGTGTCGGATTTCCATCGATTTTTTTTGGAGCTATCCCCACAACTGAAACGTTGCTTCTCAAATTGTGCAGTCTTTCCAAGAAATGCAGTCATAAATGTCGACCAACTTATCAGGTTGTGGGCAGCTGAAGGTTACCTAAATCAAAAGCACAGAAATGAATGGCATTGAGTGTTTAATCACTTGGCAAATTGTTCTTTCTTTAAAGATCTGCTCAAAGATTCAGTTCATAAAGATAAAGTAACCAGTTGCAAAATGGAAGATGTAGTTCATATCCACGCGCGATATATAGCTCGCAATCATCTTCCATGGCTTCGCGGATTCAAAATCCATGGTCCTTCAGTCCTGGAAAACAAACTTGGGAGTAGTTTTCTCAACATCTCTGCTCATCAAGCTCCTATGGAAGATTTGTTTAAATATTTGAAATACGTGAAGGCATTGGTATTGTCTTCGTGTAACCTGGAGGAGCTTCCAAGTGAGATATGAAATTTGACTCGTTTGCTATACTTAGACTTGAGTGCCAACCCATTGAAACAGTTACCGGAAACAATATGTGAAATGCATTTTCTGGAGTTCCTAGATATCCGTTTATGTCACTCTCTCTCGAGCTTTCCTCGAAAGGTTGCAGACCTTCAGAGACATCTTAGGATTAATCATAAGGCAGATGAGTTACAAACTTTGCCCGAAGAGTTCAAAGAGATTGACATCAATTCGAACCCTGGATGTCTTTCGTGCCGGTGGTAGGTACAATGATGTTGAGAAGATAAAAGAGCTTAATTATCTTGAAGAAATACGCATTTCGATCCATGGGGAAGTGAATCTTCTTGAAGCAAACTTAGAAAGAAAAGTTAAGATGGAAAATCTGGAACTGTGTTTCTTAGGCGATGGCCGCGATCCAGAGAAATCCAAATCGATTGAGGAACTTCAGCCACCTCCAAACTTGAAAATGCTTAAGCTTGAGGATTATCTAGGGAGCTGCCAAAGTGGATTTTGGGTGAATCTTTAATCCAAAGCTTAAGAAGGTTGTCTTTGCGTTCAGCTTTTAACATCCAATCCTTGCCCGCGTTGGGGTCTTTGCCGTCTCTTGAATTTCTTTGGCTCTATGATATTCCAAACCTAAAGCATTTAAGCCCTGACTGCATTCTGATACTATGGATTCTGGAAGACAGAATCCAAAAACAATTGGTAGTGGTGTCCGGATTGAAGACAATGATGATCCTGAGGAAGAGGAAGAGGAGGAGGAAATCATTGAGTCAACTGAACATGAGGAAATCAGTGATGCAAGTGATCAAGATGAGAAAATCAGTGATCAGTTACAAAGCCGATGTCGTCGTAAGTATGCCGGATTTCCAAAATTAAAGACGTTACGGGTGGAGTATCTGGAGCATTGGTAAACATGGAAGGCTGAAAATGATGGCATCTCAGTGATGCCATGGCTGGAGGAGCTGATAATCGATGGCTGCCCAAAACTGGAGACGCTGCCCCGTTGCGTCGCCGAAAAGATTACATCCCTCAAGATCTTTGAAGTGAATCTCAGCACTAAGTTGCAGCATTATTTGTGCAGAAACGAGAGATGATTACGATGAATAAATTCTCCAGAAACCAGAGTAGTCAAATCAGTATTGAAGGAGAGGTATGTTGACATTCTTTTAAGTAATTCATTCTTTTCATTTTTTCTAAATACTGATTCCGACTTGTGTGTTGAAAATTGAAGATATAATATACTACTAGATGCTTAGCCCAGGCAGATGCCCGGGCACCCCTCTACTTTAAATTTGTGTTAATAGATAAATAAATTCTTGATTTGGAAAAAATAAAATAGCTACACATTTGGTTTTTTTTTTTCCTTTTTTTAGTCAAAAATAAAAATAAAAATAAAAAATCATCTGCCAAAGCAAAAAAATATTAAAAAGTACAATGATGTAGAAATCATACAAATGAATGTGGAGTAATAAAGGGGATAAGTTTATAGACAAATTTAAATGCTATTTTAATTTGATTGATAAATGATAAATGTTAGGAGTTAAAATTGTGTAGTTATTTTTGTAAAGTAGCTTTATTTCTCGGGATAAGATTTTTTTTTTCTTTTAAAAAGGGAATGACACGTGGCAGAATGGTCAATGTAATATGGTGCATTTGGAGCCAAATTGGAGCCAAAAAGTTTTAATAAGAAGTTGACACATCAACATTCTGTATTCTACTTTAATAGGGTAAAAGGGATATCAATGACTTCGTCCATTTTATCAATTTTGATTTGCTTTCGCCGGCTTGCTGAGTTGAGTAGTGGCAATGATCATGCTACGAATATTAGCCTTTGCTGAATTTTGTGGATATTGCATACTTATTATTTTAGATTTTGTTAGCCCTTGTAATGTGGTCTGAATTAAAATAATTGTTGTGTGTTTCCTTATACTAGTGTTTTACCCGTGTGTTGCACGGTGAGCAAATTAGAATTAAATTATCCTTTTTTTTACGTTAAATATGAGTACATAATTTCAACATATAAGAATAAAAACGAAAGTATCTAACAAATATTAGTTTGTTTATAATTACGAACAAAACTAAGGGTATATATAATATAAAGCATTTGTGCCATTATTAAAAAATGTATCGGGAATAAGTAATACTTCTAAAAGCAACATATCAAGAATTATATATTTTCTAGGATTTCATTGTAAACCACATTTGTCGTCCGAGTGTGGAATTCTCCATCCTTGGTACAAATAAGGATTTTAAGACCTTTCCTGGATTTTACTCTTGGAAAAGCGACGCACAGTTACCCATGAGTAAAAACTGGACAATGTAAAAATAACCCAACTTCAAACAAAGGCTTTTCCTAACTCTTGGATGTAACCCTGCATTGCACGTTGAGAATTCGATCGAAATATTTCATCAATGTTAATTATATTGAAAAAATTTAGATATTTGTATGAATAATATCGGGAGAAAATCCATCAGACAATTCAATCTAATTCAATCTAGCATGTATAAAAACACGTAAACATGATAAAGAAGAACAATAAAAAAAGTACTATTGAAATTGAATCTAAATGAGGACTTTTTTATTGCTTAGTATATTTGGCAGCCATTAAATAAATAAACAAAAAAAGAAACCAAACAGTACTTACTTTTGAGAGAGAAATACTTTGCCCTTAATTTTTAAATATGAAAGGGCGATCTTTTGACAGGTTTTATTTTATCTTTATTTTCATATTTGATAGTATGCCACTCTGCATTGTCACTCACTCTTAAAAGATTATGAATCTTTAATAAGTTAAAAACTTGCATTGTTTCTGTTGCTAGTTTAGTATTTTCGACAATCCGTTGCAAAAAAAAAAAAAACGGTGGGTCTCATTCCATCTTCATTTATATTTTTAGCATCACGTCACTTTGTATCGTCCTGTTTAAAGGTTTCATGTTTTTTGTAGGCTAAAAATCTACAATGGTTTTAGATGCTATTTTAGTATTTACAACAACCCGTTGAACAAAAAAAATGAAAAAGAACCGGTGGGTCTCATTCTATTTTTATTTTTATCTTTAACAACATGTCACGCTGCGTTATCTCACTTAAAAAGTTTTGAGTCTTTGGTAGGTTAAAAGATTGTAATAGTTTTGTATGCTATTTTAGTATTTTTGACACCCCGTTAAACCAAAAAAAAAGAAGAAGAAAAATAAAGAAGAACCGGCTCTTAATCCATATTCAATTTAATTTTTAATACCTTGTCAATTTGCATATTCATGTTTAAAAGGTTCTAAGTTTTTAATAAGTTAAAAAGCTGCAATGATTTTGGTTGATTGACGTGTTACAAATAACAACACATGAGAAAAAAAATCATTAGAAAATCTTATTATATATTAAAGGAAATTTTTTCACAAGACACGTGTCAGTCAATTAGATCTATATTTTCATCTTTAACATCATGTCCCTCTGCATTGTTTTGCTTAAAAGGTTTTTACTCTTTGGTATTTTTGGCATCCCGTTGAACCCAAAAGAAAAAAAATAGAAGACTAAGCAAGAAATATTTGTTCAAAGATAATACTTATCGATAAATTAATACTTTAGTATTTTTTGACAACTCGTAGATAAAAAAAAAATCGACGGGTCTCATTCCATCTTAATTTATATTTTTAACAATATGTCACTCTTTATCGTCTTGCTTAAAGGTTCGCTGTTTCTAGTAAGCTAAAAATCTACAATGGTTTTAGCTGCTATTTTAGTATTTACAACAGCCCATTGAACCAAGAAAAGGAAAAGAACCGGTGGGTCTCATTCCATTTTCATATTTATCTTTAACAACGTGTCATTGTGCGTGATCTCACCTAAAAGGTTTCGAGTCTTTGGCACGTTAAAAGATTTTAATGGTTTTTTTTGTTATTTTAATTTTTTTGGCATCCTGTTAAATAAAAAAAGAAAAAGAAGAAAAAAATAAAAAGAAGAATCGGCTCTTAATCTATGTTCATTTTCAGTTTTAATATGATGTCACTTTGCATATTCTTGTTTAAAAGATTTTAAGTCTTTAATAAGTTAAAAACCTGCAATAATTTTGGTTGATGGACGTGTTGCAAATAATAGCACATGGGAAAAAATACATTAGAAAATTCAATCTAATTTAATTCATAAGAGATAAAAACATGCAATAAAATAGAAGAATAATTTAAATAATAATTATTGAAATTGGATCTAAAAACTTTGCTATTTAAGTATTTCTGACAGCCCGTAAAACTTAAAAAAAAAAAAAACATAAGGTCTCATTCGATATACATTTTCATGTTTAATAGCATGTCACTTTGCATTGTCCTACTTAAAAGGTTCTTAGTCTTTGGTGTTAAATATCTGGAATGATTTTGACTGCTAGTTTAGTTTTTTTGGTATCCGGTTGAACCCAAAAGAAAAAAAAAAGAATAATAAGCAAGAACTATTTGTTCAAAGATGATACTTATCGATAAATTAATAGTTTAGTATTTTCGACAACCCGTAACAAAAAAAATCGGCAGGTCTTATTCCATCTTCATTTACATTTTCAACATTATATCACTCTGTATCGTCTTGCTTAAAGGTCCATGTTTTTGGTAGGTTAAAAATCTGCAATAGTTTTAATTCCTATTTAGTATTTATAATTGTCCGTTGAACGAAAAAAAGAAAACGAACCGGTGGGTCTCATTCCATTTTCATTTTTATCTTTAACAACGTATCGCCATGCATTATCTCACTTAAAAGGTTCTGAGCCTTTGGTAGGTTAAAAAATTGTAATGGTTTTGTCTGCTATATTAGTATTTTTGACACCCTATCAAACCCAAAAAAAAAGAAGGAAAAAATGCAAGAAGAACCAGCTCCTAAATCATCTTCCATTTCATTTTTAATACCATGTCACTTTGCATATTCCTCTTTAAAAGGTTCTAATTTTTTAATGAGTTAAAAACGTTCAATAGTTTTTGTTGATGGATGTGTTGCCAATAACAACACATAAGAAAAAAATACATTAGAAAATTCAATTTAAATTATAAGACATAAAAATACCCAATGAAAAGGAAAACAATTTAAATACTAATTATTGAAATTGGATCTAAAACTAAAACTTTGCTATTTAAGTATTTCTGCTAGTCCGTTAAACTAAGAAAAGGAAGAAAAACAGAATGTCTCTTCGATCTACATTTTCATCTTTAACAACTTGTCCCTTTGCATCATACTGCTTAAAAGGCTTTTAGTCTTTGGTATTTTTGCACCCCGTTGAACTGAAAAGAAAAAAAAATAGAAGACTAAGCAAGAAATATTTGTTCAAAGATAATACGTATCGATAAATTAATACTTTAGTATTTTCGACAACTCGTAGATAAAAAAAGAAATTTCCGGGTCTCATTCCATCCTAATTTACATTTTTAACATCATGTCACTCTATATCGTCTTGCTTAAAGGTCCGCTGTTTTTGGTAGGTTAAAAATCTGTAATGGTTTTAGCTTTTATTTTAGTATTTGTAGCATCTCGTTGAACCAAAAAAAAGAAAAAGAGTCGGTGGGTCTCATTTCATTTTCATTGTTATTTTTAACAACATGTCGCTCTGCTTATCTCACTTAAAAGATTCCGAATTTTTGGTATGTTAAAAAATTGTAATGATTTTGTCTGTTATTTTAGTATTTCTAACACCCCATTAAACCAAAAAAGAAAAAGAAGAAAAAAAGAAAAGAAGAACCAGCTTTGAATCCATCTTTTCACTTTTAATACTATGTCACTTTGCATATTCCTGTTTAAAAGGTTTTAATTTTTTAATGAGTTAAAACCTGCAATGGTTTTGGTTGATGGACATGTTTCCAATAATAATACATGGGAAAAAATACATTAGAAAATTCAATCCACTTTAGTTCATAAGACATAAAACATGCAATAAAAAGAAGAAACATTTAAACAATAATTATTGGAATTGGATATAAAAATAAAACTTCCCTATTTAAGTATTTCTGACAGTTTGTTATACTAAAAAAAAATAGAATGTCTCACTCGATCTATATTTTCATCTTTGACTATATGTCACTCTGCATCGTAAGGTTTAAAAGGTTCTTAGTCTTTAGTAGGAACGATTTTAGTATTTTTAGCAACTGTTAAACCTAAAAGAAAAAAAAAATGAGAATAAGCAATAACAATGGTACGCATCATAAGAGTTTTGAGAGTGGAAAAGATTGAACATTAGAAAATAAGTGAAAATATAGTAAATTAAAACCCCAATCTTTAACTGTTGTTTCATTTTATTAGATTTCTAATTTTGTGGATAAATTGAATGTTGATAATTATGGTAAATATCTAATTTTAATTCATATGATCTTCGGTAAAAATGGAATATGTACTAAACCGGAAAACTTATATGGTTCTCAAACCATTGCAGAAATTGGATGTGACGACTAATTGATCTCAGTGTTTTTGGAGGTGTCTAGGCAGGCTTTTTCCTTCGGCTTTGGACTGTAGCTAAAACGCAATAGTCACAAGGACGATTTGGGAGAGGATAGATATGAGAGGTGAAAATATAACAAAGCAATTCGTATTTTGAATTAATTGATAATAATCCGATAATATCATCTATATATGTTCAAATTAATTATGAATTTAGTTATATTGTTAGTATTCTTATTTCCATGTTGTGTTTTATTTTTAAATTTCAAAATTGCAATAATTGCGTCAAAGTGATACTTTTACTTAAACAACTTTTAATCAAATATTAGAAAACTGCCCCACAGATTGTCATATTGGCTTTGAATAGGATCTGGATGAACCAAAACATTTTTTCAGGAAAAAAAATATAAAAATAATTTTCTAAACAAAAAATTAATGAAAATTGCTAATAATTTTTTTGGGTGGGCTACGGTTATTATTTTTAGTATACAAATCCTAACGCATGACCTCAAAAAGCCCACTACTCCAACTGACCCACCAAAAAAAAGTTTAAGAAACATTAAAAACTATAATATGTTGAGAAAAATTGCTCCACAGAAAATTACAATTGTGAATTAACAAAGTTGCTGATAAAAATCGTGGATTAGGGTTGCTTTCTGATGTTACTGACCTTTGAAACGGCGAAACCTCAAAAAGATCCCCAACAAACTGTCTCATATTATCAAATTGACAGACTTCAATTTAATTTAGTAGACCAAAAAGAAGGCAAAAAAACATATATATACGTCATTAATAGTTGAGAGAAGTTAGTTTGGTGAACCAACATAAAATGCATCTGGTATCACTACAAGAAAATGTCCAAACACGAAATAAATGACGTGGCTATATGGTCCATAGGTAATGTTACCCACAGCTATTTGACATCTGTGGCTAATATACCCACGACTTTTGCACTGGGAATATCCGTGGGTAATTCTTCTGAGGAGACAATGATAAAACCCATGATTTTCTCACGATATATATCCATGGGTAATCTGTGGCTAATTTTTAATCGCGAATAAATCAAGATTTAGTTACATTGCCGTGGGTAAGCCGTGAGAAATATTCCTCCCTAGATATTCTATAGGAAATTTTCAACCCCATCTCTAATAAGGTCCGTGGGTAGCCGTGGGTGATATATATATATATATATATATATATATATACTCTTCCCATAAATCTTTTGTAATCATAACAAAATATATACATTCAAAACTCTAATACATTTCATTATAATATTTACCCATTTAAAGAAAATTACATAGAAAATAATTATCCGCAATATCTAAACAACCAAACAATAAAGTGAAAATACTGTGGAACCATTCTCACTAGTTATCAAAACTTACATGAATTTTACTACATTCGAAACTTACATGGATTCCACAAAAATCCTATTGTTTCAACTTGCAAGTTGCATCAAGAAAAACAGAGACTGGCCAATTCCAATGTAACTTCTACGTTCAACTTTCGACATAGATTATGAAATTCCCCGCGATTGTCTTGTACATATTCACAAAATAGGGTATCAAAATTTACATGATATGAGAAATTTCATAGGATGAAAGATAGAGCTATTAGAAGGGTAAATAAAAGGACGGCATCGAGTTTAATTGAAAAAAAGTCCATTGATAAATAACAAAATAACCACTTTGGACCAAAAACTTAAGCGTCTACAGAACCCAAAACTTTCAAGACATTGAGGAAGACAAGAACCATGACAATATGTAACCTTTCATGGCTGAAAGACATTCTAACAGATTGTCATGTTAAACACCACTTTCGATAAGCAGCAACAAGACGTAATCTGTAAGACATCAACAAACCAACTATCTAATCATTGGTAGAAGGAAACAAAAGCCACCCAATAACAACACTGAAAAGCTATCTATGATCAACAACTTCATCTGATGTTGAAGGGAGATTTTAATTTTTGCAAGCTAACATGCAGGAGTAAATTTCAGTCATGTATTCCCATTTCAATACTAAAATAAAGAAAAGGAAAAAAAGAACCTAAGACAAATGTCTGAACGAAGCATAGAATCAATTTCCATAGAACATAGTATGTCTCAAGGGAAAGACTTCCTACATGAAAACACATACTAATGAATAACACATAGACAAAAATAATGCAACAATAGATAAATTGTCAAAGTAAACATCCAGCTTTATAGACTATTTTGCATTCATATTATAGAGCATTCAATAACTCATTTTCTAGAGCAGAAACATCCATATATATCTTAATGTAAGAAGAAAAGTTTCAGGATAAAGAATAAACCAAAAGGGTTTAAAACTAATCAAAACTTTCTATCAAAAGTAGTCTCTCAAATCTGAAATTTTAAGTTCTGCCAGAAAAAACAGACTTAGATGTCAACTTTGGATGCAATTTTATAAACATCAACCTCGTTAACCAAAGAACAGACCTCTTAAATAAAACATTGAAAAAGACATCATAACCAGGAAACCAAAGCATACAAAACACAAGTAGTTTCGAATTTCCAGCAAATCAGTTAAAAATATCATCTTTAAAACTATTTTTAGAAGTGACTAGAGATTCATTTCATGATCCATAAATCAACATAAAACTTGATCAATGTATCAAAAATTTAATCTAATCAACAAAATAACACAGAAAATGAGTAACAAGAAATAGAAGAAAAGCAAATCTTAAATTTTATTTGCTTCATGCAAAACACTGCAAAAGCACAACATGTGTAAAGTAAAACAAGAAGATATACTACTTTGTATATAGAGTAATTCCTTGCACGATGATCAACATGCCCATATATAAGGACAACTTCAATAAATTTTACAGACATACACTTACATTTTCCATAGCAGAATTTCTTCAGCCCTTTTGTCCCAGTGTTCAACCTCAATCAACATGCCTTCTTCAATTGATAAAATTTGATTCTTCAGACCACCTGAATGGAGTTGTGAAATTTCGAGAGCCAGAAGCAACAATTTCGTGAGGCACCCTGTAAGTATTCAGTAAAACAGACTATAAAATGCTACTTAGAAGATATGTATCTTCTGATTAAATAAGATCAATGCCTCTGCTACCTTCAAAAGTTTTGACAAAGGTGATATATTTTCCAACCCAAAAAAGTGTCTGCGTAGGAATTAAACGGTTAGCCACTGTAATCAATAGAAACCAAAGATGTAACATGAGCTTCAGAGATCAATACAGCCTGAGTAAACAGAAAAACATACTACTGGTTGCATTGTTATAAGCCATAAAGCGATCTTAACAGTCTTTAAACGTTGGAACAAAAGAACAACACAAAGATAGAAAAGACATACCGTAGACAAATCACCAGAGATCATAAAGTATGTAAACATAGAGTGAAGACATACGTTACATAACATAGAGTATGTAAACATCATAAAATAAAATAAATTTAAAAATAAATTAAATCACCTACGGAAAACTGAGGCCGTAGGTAATTCATGGCTAAATTAAGATTTACCCACAAATTACCCACGAAAACTTTTCTCACAGAATAATCCTTGGGTAATTTGTAAGTAAATCAATATTTACCCGTAAATTACCCACGGAAACATTTCTCGTAGAATAATCCGTGGACAATCCATGGTTAACTAATAGGCGGGAGTTGGCCGGAAAAACTTACTCATAGAATATCTAGGGTCAAAGGTAGCGTGGGTGGTTCTGTGGGTGATTCCGTGGGTATAACGTTGTTGTACAAAAATGAATTAAGTTTTTTTTTCGAATTTTATGGGTAATCCCAGGGTAATTCATGGTAAATATTCACGGAATACCCACGGCCACAAAAATCCGTCGGTGTTCGGCCACTTTGTCGTAGTGTATCTTAATAAAAGTAGGACTTCTTTTTAAGTTCTAAATTCTAAAAATAAAAGAACAGCCAGGAGAGAAGTGTTTGTTGTTCTACGTAATCATCCAAAGCATCGCCGTCCTTCATTTTTCGTCTTTGAAAGAGGAGCGTCTTGATTTTTTTTCATAGTTGGCCATTCTGACCGGCGGGTGGGGGGAAAGGACCAGAGAAACCAATTCCTAATTAACCCAATTAGCAAAAAAATCTATAAATAATTAGCACTGAAAACTATCATATGCGATTTAGTAAAAGAACAAACTGCTTTTTGCTTACATATTTTACAATAAGCAAAATATATTGAAAGAGAACTTTTTTTATTGCAATCTGAACGTAAATGCTACCTAAATAGGTGGCCGTCGGAAAGTATTCAGTAAGCGTAAAATCAATCACACTCTATTAAAGTAACAATCCACTAAAAATTTCTTTAAATTTCAGAGAATAGATTTCCTTCGTCCTCTTTGATTATTTTATTATCTGCACCACTCAAAACAAAAGAAAAAAAAGAGTCCAAAAATCAATATTTTATATTTAAAGAACATAACTTGTAATCAACATGATGAAAGGGGGAAAAAAATCGGGGCTGCCATAATCCTTTTGCGGAGGAAAGAAAAAAAATCAACCACAAAGTAAACTACCCTTCCCTATTGTAAAAAACATTTTTTACAAAATCACGATCATGCATTGCAGTGACCCGCAAAAAGCTATAGAAACATGGCGGGAAGTGGAAGATTTTGGAGAGAAATGAGGGGGAGGTAGATGGGAGACGACTGGAGTGGGAGCTAGTTTGATTTATCTAACCCGAATAACCATTGTGTTTCGAAGAATCCTAGGCTTCCTAATTAAGGGTAATATTGATTTAATCAAATTAATCAGTTAGAATTCTAACCATATCTCCCTTCTTGATGGTCCAATCATATCCTTTGTTTGGGGAGTGATCCAAACATATCCATTTAGCAACATCTTGAAGTTTAATGGTTCTAAACTATTTCCATATTTATTTGATTATTTGAATTTCAAATATGTGAAGCTAAGTCGCGCGTTAAAAACGGCATAGAATTTCGCAAACAAAATTTTGAGAACAATCGAGATAAAAACCAATATAGGGTAGTAAATGTTTAGTAGGATTGATCCTATCGCATTTAATGGTAGTAGGCGTATTCATTACGACGTGTAAAGTAAAGATTTATTAGTAAAAGTAAATAATATTTTTTTTGATATGAAAAATGGGATATTATCATTTACCATCCTTTTTACCCTATTAAAGCAGAATAGAAGATGTTGATGTGGCAATTTCTTAAAAAGTTTTGGCTCCAAATGCACCATATTGTATTAATAATTCTGCCACGTGTCATCCGTTTTTAAAAGAAAATAATTCTTATCCGGAGAAACAAAAGTTATTTTACAAAAATAGTTACACAATTTTAACTCCTAACATTTATCATTTATCAATCAAATTAAAATAGCATTTAAATTTGCCCATAAACTTATCCCCTTTATTATTCCATATTTTTTTGTATGATTTCTGCATCGTTGTACTTTTCAATATTTTTTTTTCCTTTGGCAGATGATTTTTTATTTTTATTTTTATTTTTGGCTAAGAAAGGGAAAAAAACCAAATGTGTAGCAATTTTATTTTTTTCAAATCAAGAATTTGCCCTATTAAAGCAGAATACAAGATTTATACCCTATTAAAGCTGAATACAAGATGTTGATGTGGCAACTTCTTATTAAAAATTTTTGGCTCCAAATGCACCATATTGCATTAACCATTCTACCACGTGTCATCCGTTTTTAAAAGAAAAAAAATTATTATCCGGAGAAACAAAAGCTATTTTACAAAAATAGCTACACAATTTTAACTCCTAACATTTATCATTTATTAATCAAATTAAAATAGCATTTAAATTTATCCAAAAACTTATCCCCTTTATTACTCCATATTTTTTTGTATGATTTCTGCATCGTTGTACTTTTCAATATTTTTTTTCCCTTTGGCAGATGATTTTTTATTTTTATTTTTATTTTTGGCTAAGAAAGGGAAAAAAACCAAATGTGTAACTATTTTATTTTTTTTCAAATCAAGAATTCATTTATTTATTAACACAAAATTAAAATAGAGGGGCGCCCGGACATCTGCCTGGGCTAAGCATCTAGTTGAATCATTAAATCAAAACTTATCGCTTATGAAAATAAAATGAAAAAACCACAACTACAGCTTTGTGGCAAGTACTTCCACGCAACCTAAATAATCAAAATAATACGAAATCTATGAAAAACTATTAATATTATCAAACGAACTTATTTAAAAGCTTAGAAAAATTTCAGAAATGATAAGTAGATTCATCCATTCATTCTTCATATTCGTCTCAAGAACCATTTTCTGTTTGCTCATTAGAAGATCGAGCACATACGTGATGGACGATCATCAATGTCGTTAGCATTTTCCTTTGAAGCTGGACTACTTGTAGTTGTTTCCGATCGAGAATTAGATCACCCTTCATGAAATCGATTTTCAGAATATTGAGATTTAAGGCATCACGTTTTCTTCTTCCTGAAACTTTTGTTGGCAAAAAAAAAATTGTAGGCCAATGCTAATAAATAAGATAATAAAAATAATAAACACTTTAGTCGCGCTAAAAAGCAATGTCCTTAAGAAACTATGCCAATGGTATTGAAATGTCTCCCCAGGATTAAACAAGACTTTCTCCAAATGATAGAGAGAATAAGACCAGCTAAAATATTAATCCAGCAAAAGAAATAATAGAAAGAAAACTTTTGACTTTAAAGACCAAAAGAAAAATGGTGCTAAAACAACTCAAAGCTTTTGTGTTTAATTTATCGAAATCAGTAAACAAGGAAAATGAAAGCTTGTGGAGTTGAATGAAGAGAGTTGGCAAAGAAAGATTAGAGAAAGGGAAAAATATTTGTGCATTTTTTCTCTCAAATTTGGCCCTCTATTTATAGTGTTAAAATCGGCACTAAGTTGCTCCAAAAAATCAGAAAGTAAATCTCACATTTGATCAAATTAAATCTTCCGTCAGTGGCCAAATTTAAGGATTTCAAGTATTGGACTCTTTCTTCTCTTGACTTGGTATTAAATTTTATCCTAACTATGAGTAAAACACAACCAAGGTAAAATATAACTTTTACTTAAAATCTTTTTGAAATATATTTGTTTTATTCAACAATCCCCCACATATTTCAAAAGATTTTAAACCATAAAATTAAAATAAACAAATTTTGCTGGATATGTTTGGGCGCAGTGCAATCAGTCTGGTGTCTTTTGGACTATGAACCAAACTTAGGTTAATAAAACATGACTCACAGATAATTAGCGAAATTAAAATTTCTATGAACCAAGTATTCTATTTGTAAGACAGGTTTTACTAACAACAATGCAAACCCATATTTTGTTGTTCACGCAGTTTTGCGCCAATAGGCCATTCGCGCGCCTGGTTATTCATGAGAGCTCTAAAGATCTGACCATAAAATCTTACAGCAGCGGTCCCACTCCACTCTCATATAGGTGATTTCATCAAGCGCACACTGCTTTAGATACACCACTCGTAAGAGATATGAATTCATTAAGAGTTTAACACAACCTCACAATAGGTAGCAGTTTCAGCACCCATCACAATAGAGTTTTAACTCAAAGTGCTTCAATGTCAATATTGACTTGTTATTACCCATATGAACCTACTTCATGGGATCTCCAATTACATAGGTTGGGTTACCATCTTTATTGACAGTCAGTTGGTCTAAGTCCCATTTCCTTTGAGGTTTAAAGAATTAATTTTCTTCCCAAAGATTTCGTCAGAGGATCGGCCAAATTCATTTCTGACTTCACATAATCAATGGAAATAATTCCATCCTTCAACAGCTGTTTTACGACATCATGTCTCAATTTCATGTGTCGATTTCAATTATTATAAAATTTCTTTTTAGCAGTATTAATTGCCACTTCACAATCACAATGATGAGAATCTTTAAGAGTGCTCCTCAATAACATGCATCCTTATCCCTATCACAGTTCTTGTACAATATTGGATTCGCTTTTGGTTGCTTTTGTATACTCCTTTCGACCTCGTGACGGGTTTGTCGAGACCCGCAAAAATTAATCTTATTCCTAACAAACCAAAATTAATTTTCAGAAACAGTGCAATCAGGTCAAATCCTAAGAAAGCCGACTTTTAACACTTGGCTTTACAAAAATGCAAATAGGGGGATTTTTCTTCTTTAAAATAAAACGACAATTTGAAGTAAATAAAAATGGAGAGAAAATTAATAATAGAAAAACTTTGGTTCAAGGAATGATTCAAATATATTATAGATCATCGACTAAAAATACATTTTTCTACAACTCAAGCATTCAACCGTAGGTTTAATAGGATAACCGTAAAAAGCCTTATATTTTCTAAAAATATTTAACCAAGCCCATCACCTAATCAAAACTTAGTATAATTTAACTGGGCACGATAGCGTTCCATGTTAAATTATACTAGCAATAAAAACTTAAAAAATTTAGTTGAACCAAAAACTAAAATAATTGAGATACCTGCAATTAAAATGTTTTTGTCCTATTGATCTCCTTAGTTAGACTTATTATGCACATTCAACGTGTCACTACCAACATGCAT